ATAATTAACTGCAGATATAACATAGCATCGAGTTGATTTAATGACTAATCTAAAGCCCACTGAAGGCTGTGGATCAAGCCCTAAGAAAGGAAGAGGTAAAAATGTCACTTTGCCTTTCTAAATGGAAAAGAAGAAGAAACAGTTAGGAAACCTACTTCCTTTTTATTTATATTTAGAAGGGCATTTATGTTCTCAGAGGAGAATGGTGCCCAGATTAGTTTCAAGCCAACATCTGATATTGGCTGTCAGTCAATGCTGGAAACTGATGAACCTGCATTCATGATCAGTGGCTGGTTGTCAGTTTTTCAAGTATTTTGATGATGCTGGCTTTTGAAAACTCACTCACATTCACTTGTGCGATGAAAGGGAGGGAGAATTATTATTAGTTAATTTTTAGATTGTTCCTATTGGCAAGTAAGGACCAAACTAATGTTGTTTCATCTAATGCTAAGTGACACACTGAAAGGGGAAAGTTAGTGGTGAAGTAGTTGAGCTAGACCTTGAGTTGAATGTTTTTAAATGATATTCACTAAGTGATTGGCACTGACATTTATACTGAATGGGCTACTGAGGACAGTATTTTTCACCTGCTCATTACCAAATGTGTCAGTTCCTATTTGACAGGAATCATCAAGTAGAAATCAAAAATCTGCAATGAAGTTGCTGGCTATTTACAGCTACAAATCTCCTGGTAATATCTGATATACTGCTGACAGCAAATGAAGAACATGCTTTGCCTATCAACTTTTATGTTAACACTCACCTTGACATTTCAAAATACTCACTCATCGGGGTGGAATATTTCATGAACTTATCCCAGGTTATAAGTTTTCTTTATGTTGAGCTGCTAAAGATCTACATTTCTTCCAAGAGTAGAGTCGTTAGCACTCAGGCCTTGCTGCCTTGGCTAAATTCAGTTCTGCCTAGCTAACTTCCCTCTGCAATCTGCATATAATAGTCATGTCATTTCCTAAATTGTTGCATACTGTATCTCTACACTGTTAAAAAAGATGCCATGTTTTACTCACAGGTGACTACATTTCAGTGGTAGACTGCTATATATGTATATGTTTATATAGTTTGTAAAGCACTTTGGATCCTCCAAGATAAAGAGGAGCTATATAAATGCAAGATACTTAACAAAAAAGTCAGATATTTTCAGAGAATAGCTCTTGCTACTGGAAAGCCTTGACTTCAATGGGAGTTTTGTCTGAATTAGTAACCATGGGATTGGTCTCTAATTGGCACTCTTGAACACACATTTGTCTGTTTTGAAGGTGCAACTGTCATCATAGGACCATAGAAAGATACAATTCCTAAAATAAGGTTTGTCTTGATCCAATTTTATTTGGCACTCATTTCAATGTTCAGACTCAAATGTATCATTTTAATTATAAACAACTGTGAATTTCAGGTCTCCATATTGTAGAGTAGGAGCCATTAAAAACTCCACATTTGCTTGCCTGAGGAAATGATTGCACATAGTATGATGGTGCCTCCTGTTTTAAATAGGAGATAGCTGGCCCAAGCTGCTTGCACCCTATCTTGTGTTTTTGATAGTTTCTAACTAAAATACTCAGCATTGACTCTCTCTCCACCCCATTTAGAAAGGAGCTAAAAAAAGTGGAAAGCTCTGGGCACACTGGCTAGCCAGTAAGCAGAACTCAGTCTCTGTAATAACCAATTTTTAATCAGTGTTTTAATCTGTCTTTTATGGTTCCAGCTAAGCAACTATAAATATGCATGCGGGTAAATTTGTTAGTTTGTGAATATTTCTTTAAATGTTAGTGAGCGTGCATGAGATGAGAATTATGACAAAGGACACCACAACATACATATGAGGGACTGAAAACATTTCTCCTGTTTTGACAGATATTGCCCATTTTCAGGTGTATTCCTCATTTTACGTACAGGGACTCTTTCTCAAACAGGTAGAATCTACTAAAATGGAAGAAGCTTTAAGTTCATATGTTGTGCCATGTTTACTTAGTTGTTCTGTAACATATTACACTAGAGACCACACTTTGGGCCAAATCTCTCCCACTAATTCAAAAGAATTTTGGCTCAAGTTAAGACTCCAAGACTTGTCCTTACAAGATGCAAGAATTCCAGGATGTGAGCTGATAAAGTTGAGCGCAACTTGAATAATATGTAAATTTTCCACTTTGCTGGGTGTTGTGCTGTTTTTTGGACAATGGCCCAAAGTAATTTGATGTACGTGTACAAGAGCTGATTCAGGTTTATTATTTTTGTAGGCAGTGTTTGGGGCTTTTTAGATACAGAATGCCATTTAGTGGGATCAGTTTGTAAATTGTTTCTGCTTTTTTATCAAGGCAGATGACAAATCAGCAAGCTTGAGGAAATCCCTAGAGTGAGTGCACAGCAGGCACCGTCTTCTCCCCACCCTTGAGTAACTGTCATTCTTTGTTCCATTCTGAGAGACAGGTACATATTTTCAAATGTTCCTCTCCTGGTGCTTCCTTATTAATTTATGAACTTTCAATTTCAAATACAAAATTAAATGCATGGAAAAATACTATAGTTCACCAAATATCAAGATACTTAGGCATAAATCAAGAAGAATATAATGGTGTTAACAGACAAAAGGCACACTTAAAATTCAATTTACTCCTAATCAAATGCAATAAGGACATGCAGAACAATTCTAGATAAAGACTGTTTTCTTTGGAGATGTTCATCAAATGAAATAGGGACTTGCTGGACTGAGAAAATTGAACAGGAGAAAATTTTAGTCATTATTTATTTTACTCCTTATGCAGGTTATCGCATGCTTTACCTTTAAGACATCAGAACAAAGTGGGGAAACCCTTGCAGAGCTTCCTGTTCAAAGGCTGCACTGCATGTTACTATGTAGTAAAGCTTTTCACGGATGTCCTTTTTACAGTCAAGATATCCACTTGTTAACATTATTTCACACACTTTAATAAGAACACATCAAGAGGAGAATACACCCCTTTATCTCTCCATGAATTCAGGAAAATGTGATGTCTAAACTTTGCTCCCATCTCTCCCACTGTGTGTAAAAGCCTAGCATGCTTCAACCAAATTGCACTACATTTATAATGTACAGCAACAGTCTTTGTTGAACTGCTATAAAATTTGGATATATGGTATGATATTCAGATGGACACTTTGTTCTAGCTCCCTCACTGCCCAACTCCATCTGTAAGTTAAGCAGAAAAGTCAAATTAACCAGATGTGGACTTGACCAGCAGGAGAGAGCAGGGGAGGAGAAAGAAAAGCCTTTTCACTCCCCTCCATCTGAAGTGAGCTGAGCTGCACAGAGAAACTATTTATTCTCAGGTTTCAGAGTGGTTAGTCTCAGTTGCACTTTGCAGCTTCTCCCTCAGCCAAGATCTTACACACAGGGAAACTCACTAAGGTTATTCAGCTTCCCTTCTGCAGGAAGCTCTGAACAGGCTGCTAGGAGTAACAGACCATAGTTCTCTTTTGCAAACAGAATACCAAAAAATAGAAAATGGTACAAAAATCAGTGGTGGAGGGGGGGGGAGAGGAGAAGAACTAAGAGAAAATGGAAATGAGGACCCAGAAATAGAAGAGATGAAGTAAAAGATGGGATGGAGAAAGACAGGCTAAAATGCAGCCCCACTTGTAGAGTTGAGATGAAAATTTAAGTGCTTAATGGGGGCTTTGATTAGCATTGGATTAATATCCGGGAGGATTGTGATACTCCCCAGAGGCACCCAGTGTTGTGAGGCACTTCACCAGCACCTTTCCTCTCTCTGAGTGAAGTAGTCTTGTCTGTGCCTGCGGCAGCTCAGCTCTGTGAAATCAACAGCCTCTGGCAACACTAGCCCCTGCCTTCCAGGCCTCCATAGACCTCGCTCTCTCAGTTCAGGCTAGTAATAGGTCCACACCAACCCTCAAGTTCTTGCAGTGTTCCCTCTGTAACACTCAGCCCCTATCACTGCATGGTCACAGAAATTACCAGAAAGCTGTCCCCAAAAGAACAGTGTACACACAGCTTGATAGGTACAATTCGGGATTAGGTCCTTGATAATATCACAGCACTCAGATATATATTTATAGTGAAAATCATAAATTTATTATCAAAGATTAAGATTCAAGAAATACTGAGTAAGGATAACGGAATCAAAAATGGTGACATATAACATGCATCTCAAACTAAACTTAACTTTAACAGGCTAAAATCCTTGTCTAAAGTAGTTTTATCTCACCCCAAAGCCTTTTTTGCAGAATTTTCAACCAACCCTGGTTGAGATCCTGTTCTCATAAATGCAATCACACTGCCTGATTACTTCCTGAAGTGCCGGATAACAAAATGCTTTATTTGTCCCCTTGTTACAGTCCAGTAAACCTTTGAAGTGCACTCCCTGATAAAACTCTTCTCCCCCATTGCTTGTTTTTCCTGTTGACTTCCCATGTCTCTTTTTTTATTAGCATTCAGTTCAAACCAGTGTTGGGAGGCCCATTGTGAAAAAAATATACAATGCTTAATGTACGTCTCTATTTGCTAGATGGACAAGAACTCCTGGTCTGAAACCTCTCTGTGCTAGTGGCTCATACCTTGATATAGACTCTCAGAATATATTTTCAGTATATATACACACATAACTTCTTAAATATCATCCATACATATATTTCACAACGATTATGAAGATCAGTATGACATATGCTTGTATTAGACATCTTACATGACATTCTTTATGGATAAATACTACGAAAGCGGTGTTTTAATTGTAGTGAGTTGTGAGGCCTGTTAGGAGTTGCTGACACAGAGTAGTGAACCCTTTGCCAGAAAGCACCAAAGGGCCTCTGTGTCACAAGAATGTAATCTTTGTTGTACCACATTCTATAGGGCATTCTGCATCATCGTTGTTTTAGAGTGTTTTTATTGCAAAGTTTTAAACATTATAATGAATACAAAGTTTAAAAAGAGAGAGAACTACACAGTGTTAACATTAGTCAGAAATCATTTAATGCATTACAGAACTTACCAAACAAACGCTGATGGAACAGGAATTTCCCAGCTATCAGTCCTGTGAGAATGGCAAGTAGCCATAGAAGCACCTTCAGAAACCTCCAGCCTCCTCCTCCAGGGTATTTATTTGTTACAAATGAAAAGCAGTTGCCAACAACAATAACATTGGCTTCTGTCTGACTGTGAGATACTGGATCCTCAGCAAATATTAAGAAGTTAAAGAAGATCACCAGGTAAGCCACAACGAGGCGAGACCAGGGGTGCTGGAAGTAGTAGCGGAAGCCTTTACCCATTCTCAAATACTTCAGGACAGTTGCTTGCCTGTGTATACAAGATATATCAGTACATTGTTATACCCACCAATCAGCATGGCATTCGGAAGCTGCCTAGACATTTCAAAAGTCAAACCACTTTACATTTTCAGTGATTTACTTTTTATATTCTAGACTAACTCAGTGATAAACAGTTCCAAACAAAATAGGGTGACCGGACAGCAAGTGTGAAAAATCGGGACGGGGGTGGGGGGTAATAGCAGCCTATATAAGAAAAAGACCCCCAAAATCGGGACTGTCCCTATAAAATCAGGACATCTCGTCACCCTAAAACAAAAGCTGTGTTAGAACCCAGGCAAAGAAAAATTAAGACTTCCTGTTAGTTTCAGTAAAGGCATGCTATACATTTTAGCACGCCATTTTTATTTTTAAAATGTCTACATTCTTATTAAAGTACAACTACATCACAATTAACATGGCATGTGAATATGGGTCAGCACAAAACATGTTATATGGCACTTGAAATTCATAGTGCCTGTCTCATGCATTCAAAAAGATATAGCAAAGCCTCCACAAATTTTGATTCTAGAACATTTCATCCCTCCTTCTATCTCTTCTTTGACATAGGTGCTGGAACTAGCGGTGCTGGTGGTGCTGCCACACCCCTTGGTTTGAAGTGGTTTCCATTATATACAAGCTTTACAGTTTGGTTAAATGGGTCTCAGCACCCCCACTATACAAATTGTTCCAACACCCCTGCACACATACACACATACACATAGATCCCAGGCCTACTACTAAATCTACTCCATCACTTTTTGGAAAGAATCTGGACTGAGTCTGCATGAAAACCACATAGTCCATTCTCTCATCACCTGCGAGATTTATAAATCTCCCAATAACACCACTGGAGATTACTACACATGGAGGAATGAACAAATCCCAGAGTTAATCTTTGAAGGGCCTGACCCAAAACTCATTGAGATCAATTAGGGTTACCATACGTCCTCTTTTTCCCGGACATGTCCGGCTTTTCGGCACTCAAACCCCCGTC